ACAAGGTCACAGGGTTCAGAGCACAGTGCTGGTCCCTTGGTCCATTACCTTCCCTGTGGTTGGAAGACTGGAAGGCACATTCTCAGGGCTGGCATCTTTATTGTAGTGATTAACATACCAACACAGGGCTCATTTGATTCTCTTAGAAGACACATAGAATATTGGGATGTGTTTGTTTTCTGGATTATATCGTCTGGGGTGTTTCTGCAACTAGTGACAGTCACATATGTAATACTTTCAAATCTTGTTTCTGACCAGTGACCTGACCCTTTTCTCCTGGAATTTTGTTCCATGTCCTCATGAACATCTAAGGATAGCATTCATAGTTCTTAGCTTCATCTCTACATTTTTTCTTTCTCTCTTTGCAGTGAATGTTGGATTCTATTTTCCAGGACAGCATGGAAATAATTAATTGCTTTTTACCCCCAACATGCCATCTCCAGATGATATCTCCATTTGGATTTATTTGCTTGTTGAAATAGGAAGTAGACACAATCTCTGTTAATGAATTGTATCAATACTGAGGGATGGACACACAGCACTTCCTTTCATGGATCCTCCTGGACAGTTCATTTTGCTCAGACCCCAAGGTCAAATTAAGAGAAGAGCATAAGTGCAGGGAAAAAAGGAAAAAGGAAAAGGAAAATAATGGAATTATCTTCACGTGGGTCACAGAGGCCATCCCCTTGCTATACTGCTCACTTCTTTCACAAAGAAGGGGGGAACACACTTCAGCCCGTCCTTCATCTGTGACGAGATCAAAACCAGGCAGGCAGTGCTGACATTGCTCAGCCCCATGAAGTTCAAATAGAAACACTGCTTTTTATTATCAATATTATTTTCATTCATAGGTCATGATATTTTCTAGTAATGTATCAGACAGTGTTTCATTCCTGTTCATAAGATTTTCTCTGTCCAGTTCTCTGAGATGTGGATGACACCATTCCTTCTTCCAATTAAAGAAGAATGGATTATACCTCAATGTAAAGAAAGTGAAAGTGCTCACAACTGGATCAATAAGCAGCATCACAATAAATGGAGAAAAAAGTGAAGTTGCTAAAGATTTCCTATTACTTGTCTCCACAATACACACCAATGGAATCAGCAGTCAAGACATTAGACCATGTATTTTACTGGGTTAAACTCCTGTTTGTTTGTTTGTTTGTTTAAAGTCTTTTTGAAGTGCTGAGAGTAAATCTGTTTCCTTCAAGATTAATGTGAGCCTAACCCAAGTCATGGTGTTTTCAATTGCCTCATATGCATGTAAGAGCTGGACAATGAATAAGGAAGACTGAAGAAGAGTTGATGCTTTTGAGTTGTGGGGTTGGAGAAGAATGCTGAAAGGACCATGGACTGCCACAAGAACAAGCAAACCTGTTCAGGAAGAAGTAAAGCCGGAATGGTCCATGGAAGCGAGAATGGCCAGACTTCGTCTCACCTACTTTGGTCATGTTGTCAGAAGGGACCTTTCCCTGAAGAAGGATCTCATGGTTCGTAATGTGGAGGGTCAGTGGAAAAGGGGAAGTGCCTCCACAAGATGGAGTGACACGGTGGCTGCAATGATGGGCTCAAGTATAACAAGGATTGTGAGGTGGGCAAAGGAAGAGACAGTGTTTCATTCTGCTTTCAGTAGGGATGCTGAGTCAGCAGACTTGACGGCACACAACAACAAAAACAACAACATGATTTCTTTAAAATATCCATATTTCCTTCATTTTTTATGTTGTGCACCACAGTGTGTAGCCATTCAGAACAATTCCTCATTAACATTTCAAGCTCCGTGATTCACATGTCACATGGAGTCAAGTGAGTCTAACATCATTGAATCGCTGTGACTCTGCTCATTCCCAGGTGGATTCACCCACGGGTGTCTGGCCAACGTGGCCCAGGAGCAGGGAACTTCACAGCCCGCCATTTACTGTGCAGTCCCTGGATTCCCATACAGCTGTCACCTCATGTCTCTTCATTGTGTTCAGTTTTCTCAATGCTCACCTCTTAATCTATTGCTGTGTAGAATACAGATTTGTTTCTTTACTGTGATATAGGTAAACTACAAATAATGTTGATTCTGGTTTTCAATTTTGTTTTTGATATTCTGCTACTTCTGATTCTGACTTTGCCTTCAGAGGGATTTTGTTTAAGTGGAATTATTAATTGACTAAATAGCACATTTGCATTGCTGGTAGTTGCACTTGACTTATTACCTATCAGTGCATGGCTCGCTCTTCCATCCTCCCCACTCTTTGCTGTGAGATTCCAAAGTGCCCTGCAGAGCGTTCTCACTCCTGGTCTGTGACCCTTGTCTAGGGTACTGCAGAGCCTCTGGGAGGAAGGACCATATTTCGTCCTGTACTCCACTTCCATGACCGTGTGCATTGCCCTCTGGCATCAGAGAAACAACAGTTATTTTTAAAGATTGATTGAGGGAATGAGCACTTATCTAGCTCATGTTTCAGTGTAAGGTAAAAATATATTTGAAAGAGTTAAAGTTGTGGTGCCCCAATGCTGTGTGCACTAAATATTAGCTACACAGAAGTTTAGTGTCAAGCAGGTAGTTGACACATATTCAAACAGATGACCATTCAACATACCATTTGCTATTTCTTCAATGCCACGTGGATCTCAGAGGACAAAGAATTCATTTGACAATAAATTTATTCATTAATTAAATTTCCTGTGACCGGTTGCTTCAAAATGCCTTCATTTATTCTTACCTTCTCTTCTATAGTGTTTAGTCAGATGGATCATATAGTCTTAGAATGTATTTGATGTTATGGAAGTAAAAGTGTTCATGATATTTTAAAGGACAAACCAATGTAATATAAATTAATAGATAGATAGATAGACAGATAGACAGACAGACAGATATAGATACATATCCATTCAGGCCAATATTTCAAAGATCTCCTGAAGAGTTGGAAGGAGGTTGATGGGGTTCACATGGTCATTCATTCTTGCCGTTCAACCTCCAGTGGTAGTTTTAGGATTCCCAACAGTGTGACATCACAGCACCTGGTTACAGACACAGAGGGGTGACAACAGTGAGCAGCCAACAGTAGGTTTTGAGAAGCTGCTTTTGTGGCATTTCCAGAACCATGTGTGTTGTGCTCTGTGAAGTCAGAAGAGGGAACCATGTGATCATGGGGACAGTCTGTGAAGGGGGATGGCCATACCTAGACAACACCATCAGTCAGCCTCCTTGGCTGATGTACTCTCACAATTACCAATCAAAATTCTGGGCATCCTACACCCAAAAGTTGTAAGCTGGTCTTTCCAGGTGTGGGGTTGTCTAGGGATCACTTGGGTTCTCCAGGGCATCATGTTATTTATACCTGACCCCAGACCCAGGATGAGCCTCCCGAGAACCTGACTCATATGCAAATACAAAGTGGCCTTAGAGTTGAAAGCTGAAGTTCTCTCCATGGAAACACCATTGAGCAACGGAATAGCCTTATAGGTTGCACAGAAACCACTGATATCAGAGCCCACACATCATGGTGTGGGTGTGGAGGCTCCTTTTGCTGTTGGCAGGTGCTGTAGGTAAGAAGCCCCCAAAACCCAGGTCTGCGCAGGATGCTGAGGCAGCTCCAGGGCCCCCACACTTCCCTTTACTTCTTCAAAGGTGCCCACTCCCAGATACAGCTGGTGCAATCTGGGGCTGAGGTGAAGAAGCCAGGAGCGTTGGTGAAGGTCTCCTGCAGAGCCTCCGGATACACCTTTACCAGCTATGGTATGCATTGGGTGCGGCAGGCACCGGACCAGGCCTTACAGTGGATGGGCTGGATCAACACCAACACTGGGAAGCCAGCATATGCCCAGGGCTTCACGGAAAGATATGTCTTCTCCCTGGATGCTTCAGTCAGCACAGCTTATCTACAGATCAACAACCTGAAGTCTAAAGACACTGCCACCTACTACTGTGCTAGAGACACAGTGTGCAAACCACATTCTGAGAGTGTCAGAAACCTTGAGAAGAAGGAAACTGGTGGGCTAAGGGAATGACCTGGGCAAATTGACTGCAGGTTTTCTTGCTTTTAGGGGTTATGAATTTAGATGTATGAAACAAAGGAAACTTAATTTACTTCCTGAGAATTATTTCAGTGCTGTGCTGAAAACAAACTCCACAGAAGGGGAAGGGTACAAACTTATCTTGATGTGAAATGTTTTCTGAGCTGTGGGTGCAAATACTTGCATCATGGGCATTTGTATGAGAAGTCACCAAACACTGGACATGCTGGAGTCCTGTGTGACATTCCAAGACAAGCCCTCGGAAGCACACACCGGGTGTCACCAAAGTGTCCAGGGTTATGTACTGAAGCACAAGTTGGTGGAAGACCATCTTAGGAACATTTGTCACTATGCCTTATATCACCTCTACAGAAACTTGGAGTCACCGTGACTGTCTCATTTCCACTTTCACAGCAGGCACATATTTAGCCAAGGCTTGTAAATGGCACTAAGTACAGTATGAGTCCACTTAGAGTGAATGGAGCTGTCTTTCTGTAATGCTAGTGCCAAAAACTTGCTAACCACCACTTTTTCTTTCTTTCCTCTTCTAAGGGCTATTAAAAATGCAAATTACCTGGCTTAGTTCTCTACTGTGTTTGTTGTTGTTGTTGATGATGTTAAGGTGCTGTCAAGTCAGCTTTGACTCATAGACACCATATGTACAATAGAAGGGAACATTGTCTGGTCCTGTGCCAGCCTCAAAATCCTTGGTGTACCTGAGCCCAAGGTTGCCCCACCGTGTCAGTCCATCTCCAAGTTGGCCTTCCCCATTTTCACTGACCCTCCACTTTACTAAGCATTATGCCCTTCTGTAGGGAATGGTCCCTTATGATAACATGACCAAAGTAGGTGAGACAGAGTCTGGCCATTCTCACTTCCGAGGACCATTCCAGCTGCACTTCCTCTATGACAGATCTGTTCATTCTTTTAGCAGTCCATGGTACTGTCAGTATTCCTCGTGAGCACTATAACTCAAAAGCATCAACTCTTCTTCATTTGTCCTTATTCATTGTCCAGCTCTCACATGCATAAGAGGC